ATTGCTACGCTACAGTCTGTAATGAATGCTGCCGCCAGACTGATTTTCAGTCCTTACATTGGCTTCCTGTATCCTAGAGGAGTCAATTAAAAGTACTAATCCATACCTATAAAGCATTGAACAATTTTAGCCCCTCTTATAACTCTTCACAGATCCATAGGTATGCCCCCTTTCAGTCTCTCTGCTCTGCCCATGACCTTCTCCTGTCCGCTGCTCACACCCGTGTGGCCAACTCGCGTTTGCAGGACTTCTCGCGGGTGGCTCCCTTCCTATGGAATAGCCTGCCTACCATCATCAGACTCTTCCCTAGTCTTCAATCATTTAAGAAGTGCCTTAAAACCCATCTCTTTAGAAAAGCTTATGGCCTTCCAGAGTAACCACTAGCTCACATACCTGTCCTTTGCTCTCTCCTAAAGGGCAGCACTCGACTCTCTCCTCCAACTCTGGTTCACTCCCACCTTATTTGATTGCTATCTCATGTCCTATTTTCTTGTATACACCACCTCCAATAGACTGTAAGCTTGTTTGAGCAGGAACCTCTTCAACCTATCGTTCCTGTAAGTGTTTTGTAATTGTCCTACTTATAGTTAAATCCCCCTCCCCCCCCTTATAATATTGTAAAGTGCTCCGGAATAATGTAAAACCTAATGTAGGTGGAAATTTAGAATAAGACTGAGTCTGCATGCGCTGGATGAATAAGTCAGGTGCTTAACCTATGTTGAGTTGTGATCCTAAGGGGCACTCAACAGTGTCCATGTTTGTGCTACAATAAAATGTTGCCACACCTCTTCCTCTTTTAAGTGTGAAGTTGTGAAATTCTAAATACATGTGTGGTGTTGTTACTCCATTGCTCTGTGCAGTTGCTCAGTTATAGGCCCAGAAGGAATGCTGGAAACTGATTGAGCAGCCTTTATTTGACAGAGATGAGAAGAACTACGAGTTACAGGAGACAAAGCTCTTGGGACGTCTGAGGTTGATGAATCTCAAAGAAACCATCCTTAGTGAACCAGATGATACCAATAATGAGGATGAAGACAAATAAGAAAGATGAAGCATATGCTGAACTAATTTGCTTCTTAAATTATAAAAGTCTGTCTTTAATAATGAGGGAGGCAGCTGATGATGGAAGAAAGGCACTGCAAATATGAGAGATTATTATGCAGGCAAGGGAAAGCCAATGCTAGGTGGAGACAAAAAGACACCCAGAGAGATGAGGTGACAAAGAGACACATAGAGGGCTGGGAAGGATGAAGAGACACAAAGAGGGACTGGGGAGATGAAGAGACACACAGAGTGCTGGGAGGGGGGAGACACAGAGAGGGGCTGGGGGGACAGCGAGACACAGAGAGACTGGGGCAACAGAGAGGCACACAGAGGAGCGGGGAAGAGACACAGAGACACACAGAGGTGCTGGTGAAGGGAACAGTGACACACACACAGAGGCTGAGGAAGGGGACAATGACACACACCAAGGGTCTAGGTAAGGAGAAATAAAGACATCAAAGGGGCTGGGGGTAGAGTTGCAAAAAAAAGATGGGGGAGAGAGAGACACAAAAAGGTGTTGGGGGGAATAAGAGACACACAGAGAGGCAGGGTAAGGGAACAATGACACACACAGAGGGGCTGGGGAACGAGACACAGAGACACACAGAGGGGCTGGTGAAGGGAACAGTGACACAGACACAGCGGCTAAGAATGGGGACAATAATACACACAGAGGGTCTAGGTAAGGAGAAATAAAGACATCAAAGAGGTTGGGCAAGAGTTGAAAAAAGGCTGTGGGAGAAAGAGACACAAAAAGGGCCTGGGGTGAATGAGATAATCATAGGTGTGGGGGAAGAAGATACCCATAAAGGTGCTGGGGAAAAGGAGACACAAAAGCCTTTGGGGGAGAAAGAAACACGCAAAGTGGTTGGGAGAGAAAGATACACACAAAGTTGGCAATATTTGTTTTTTGGGGAATGCAAGTGGCTGATCTTGCCTAGGTCTAAAAAAAATATTCTAGCACCTGCCCTGCATGCGGGAGAAACGTTAAGTGACAGATTGCTGATAACGATGATTCTGAAAAGTTTGTCTGAATCATTTGAACTGTTGGAAAAGTACTTTTTGTAGAGTTCAAAACACAGTTGACAAGTTTAAAAAATATTGAGAAATATTGAGAAACACTGTGCTAGCTCAAGTATTAGCACTCCTAAAGAAAGCTCATATCCTCCAGGCATCTTCTCTGTAGAGGCAGCAACAACCAGTGGCACATCCGTTAACTTCAGACAAGGCAGAAGTGAAATTGTTTGTAAGAATGGCACCAAAATCACTATCCAAAAATACAACAGACCTTACTATGTAAATAATTTTGCTAAAAATTAAGGGTAAAATTGATAGACCTGGCCTAAACTGTGAAATTTGCACTCAAGGAAAATGTGTTCATAGTAGATTTAAAACACCCAATGCCAGAACCACAGCAGCAATATAACTAGGGCACACTTACTTGGCATGTCCCATAGAACCACAAGCAAGAGAAGATATCACAAAAGGCATGTCAGTGTTTGTATACTTATTGAAAAATAAGAGTGATACAGTCCCATACAGAAACATAAAGTGTGTAAGATCAGACAATAGTAGTAAGTTCCACTAAGCAAGCAAGGTATTAGACACGAGAGACTACTTGGAACAACAAGATGCGTTTTAATCGAAAGTAAATTGCCAAATTACTTATGGACAAATGCAATAATGACTGCGGCTCAGATTACAGACAGTGCTTTAAAAGCCATCTTGTAGAAACTCCATATTATTTATTAATGGGCAAAATACCTAACCTTTCTAAAATTAAGATTTTGGGGTCAGACTGTTTTGCATATAAATATGCTAGAAAGAAGTTAGAGTCAAAAAGTGAGAGAGAAACCTTTGCTGGATATGATGTGAACAGTCTTTCTTATTTAGGTTATTATCATAAGAGCAGAAAGGTTGTCAAACACAGGCTTGTAGATTTTGTTACAACAAAAGCAGTGGAAAGACAATCCCAAACTGATCTATTGCATGATGAAGAGAACTGATCCAGAGAGAGCAATACACCATGTGTACTGAAAACTATTAATGCTGAAGTAGAGTAGTCCTCAGAAGAGATCCATATCTATAATGGAGAAACCTCAAGGACTAAGGAGAATTATCAACAAGAAATGATCCTGGTAGACACCCTAAAAGAGATGAAAAAAAACACCAATACTCGGAAAATATCAGGATTATTAAGTGAGAATTCAAAGTGAATTTCAAGTTTTAGCACAAAATAGCAGAAGTATATATTGACTTGAAGAATGTTTCCAGTTTGGCAATTTTGACCTTAAATTTGAATTTTACTTTGAATTCTCACTTTCACACAAATCTTTGAAGATGCCATAAATCCACTCCAGTCACAGTTCTGGCCTAATGTCATCAAAGAGAAAACAGATCACTAAAAAAGAAATTACACATTCAATTTGACTTCTTTGTCAGAATGTTAACTTTCAGTGGGGGGATCGATAGGAGCAACATGCAATAAAGAAAACTTATGGATCAGAAACATATAAGGCCAGATATGATGCAAAAGGTTAAACGTAAGTAAAGGGAGTTGATTACCAAGAAATTCTCTCCAACTGCAAACATTAGGTCAGTACGACTCTTAATGCAACTAGCAGCACACTACGACTTACTTCTTCAAAGTTATGCGAGAACAGGTGTAAAGGCTCACCCCCACCCACATAGGGGCACTTGGGACTAGGCCTATAGTCTGTGGTCAGGAGGCTAGCTTTTCCACCTCTCTAGAACTCTGGAAGGTTGTGGCACGGGAGTGTCTTTTATATATCTCCAAACCCCACTCCAAGGGAAGACCAGCCTAGTTAGTCTGGCAGCCAGCCCCCAAAAGGCCATCCTTTCTGTTAGCCTATTGGAACAAAAACTCCATCCTATAGCTCCATTATGTTGCTGTGGATGTAAGTCAACTACCTTCTCCCTCTGGAGTTCTTCCTGCCTCTGGGGAATGGAAGCCAACTACCTTTGCTCTTGGTAGTTAAATCTGCCACTGGGAAGAGAGGAAGGCTACCTCTATCCCCTGGGTTGTAATCTGCCGCTGGGTTCATGTCCATTGTGAGTAAAATTGTCATTCCTCACCTTCCCCTGAGTGTGGAGATGTGAAGTGCTATACATGTGCATGGTGTTGTCCATCCACTACTGTGTGCACTTACCAAGCTATCCTTTCTTCAGTATGATGATTGCAACAACCTATCAAAAAATTGCTGCCTAATTATTAGCCTCTACATTTGTAATTTTGCAGGGTTATTTACTAGAGGGAGAATACTAAGTTAATTTCTAATTTAAGATCAAAGTAACTGAATTGGAAAAAAAAATAAGTCAGTTATGCTTTCAGTTCAGCAACTTTGGCTTTGGCTACATTTGAAACTCACTTTAAAGGAAGGTTGACTATGTCTTCTCCCTGTGTTGCACTCTGCTGCTGGGGAGTGAGGGCAACTGCCTCATCTCCCTGTGTTGCACTCTGCCACTGAGGAGTGAGGTTCACTACCTATTCTACCTGTACTCTACCACTAAAGAGTGAAACGGACTACTCTTGCCCCTGGGTTATAAACTGTCATGAGGGAGGCCATCACTCTTCACTCTCTCGGATGTGATCCGCTTCTGGGGAGGGTGGTCAACAACCTCTGCTCTGTTGGTTATGATCTGCCACTGGGGAGCTAGTGTGGTGCCCAGGGTTCCCACGCCAGGGGGTTTGGGATCTGGACACATCGTCCAGCCTCCCTGCGACTCCAGTGTGGAGAACAAAGTTTCCTCCACATATACCTATGTGTTCAATGTTCACCAAATCCCTAGTCTATGGGGCCTGCTGCTATACACAGTCCCATCTAATCCAGCTCAAGCTCCCACTCCATGGTGGACAGACGAGTCAGATCTGGTTTCCGCTCCATAAATTCTGAGAAGTCCAGTAGGTCTTCCCTATCATCCTGGATGCTTCAGAATCAAAACTCGTCAGGGCCAGAATAGGGCAGGGACATCATAGTCCAATTGCACTGCTCTATGGTTGGGAGATATTCCCTATGGAAGCCCCAAATTTCCATGAGGCCCTCAATCCGCAGTTCTGTTCGGATCAACACCCTACAGTCCAGCTCTGCCAAGACAGGGTCCTCATACTGGGACAGTGCCTCCTGTAATTGCAGCTGTAACTCCACATAACCAGGACGCTGCATGAGTGAACCAGGATGCTGAAGCAGGACGCTACATGAGTGTGAGCTTCATCTACATCCTTGAATTCTGAATTATATGCAGGGGTTACGGTGGTGTCTTGGAGGTTTCCCCAATAGCTAGGAAGCGATCAAATTGCTAACCAATTGTGAGAGCTACCATATTCTGACTGTTCCCTTGCTGCTATCAGGGAGCCTGGAGCACTTCAGACCCAGTCGCAGAAACTTGACTGGAATCGCTGAGGGCCTTGTCCACCACTGATTATAACTCTGGAACGCCTTTTTACAATGCCCTGCTGGGAAAAAAATTCAACAAGAAAAGGGGGAAGGGAGAAAGACATATAAACCTGGACAAGTAATACATTTAATTTAATACATAGGACCAAATCATATGGGGAAACATACAGGCACCCATAACATCATATAAAACAACAAACCAAGGGCTTCTGGTCATGGGGATTCTGTTACAAATACAAAAGGTGTCTGGGCCCCTCCCCACAGGAACAACAACCCCTTTTAGGTGGCTGACTTTGTGAGGTGGTGGGGAAGTGGAGAGGAGGGAACACCTGCAGCCATCGGCACCCAGCCTGAGGTGCAATCCTGCACTGAGAGCAGCACAGGGTCAGGGCAGGGAGATATTATAGATCTGTACCACGCAGCCACTGGGTACACTGCAGAGCCAGTACTTTAATGTTACTGCCGACACTGCTGTCAAGGCAGCAATTCCGAACAAATTGTGTTTGCAGTAAACAAACCATTTGCAACTGTTAAATTCATGTATAAACATTTAGGGTGAGAGTGGTTTAGAACTGCATCAACTTGTAAAAATTGCCACATTTCTAACACTGCCTCTCTCAAAGCTATCAATCAGGCTGCCTAAAAGCCCATTTACAGATACTCAATATCAATCGATAAAACAGATGTCCGGGAACACCCGGGATATTCAATATGAAGACTTTATTATAGTGTGGGTCTAAAGTGTGTGCAGTTCTTGTTTTGTATTTTCAAGCACTCAGTTCCAATTGTGTCCAGATTGTGTGTGCAGCGTGAACTTATTTGCTCTTTTCATGTCCAGAATGAAACAATGTTGTCAACTGAATTCTTGAGTCAGTGCCATTTCTAATATCTTTTCAGGAACTTCATTGAAATTGGCTTTTTTTTCCAGAGGGCCTATAATTCTTGCTTTTAGATACATTGAAGGCTAACGACAATATTGCTGAACATACGAAGTGAGAGGGAGGAAGAGAATTAAATTCTGATAATGTGACATTAATGTTTTGAGAAACCAGCTGGTTATTTTTTTTTTGGGGGGGATAAGAGGGGATCTGATATAAACCACAGTCTTTCACTTACTACTGACCTCTGGCAATAATATCTCTTTGATATGTTCCTTCCTCTTCTTCTACCAGCGTTATCCCTGGTTTCTCAGGCTAGGAAGAATGCTGAATTACTGTGATTCTGAACTGGTGAAATAATTGTTTATATGCTGAACTACTAAACAACTAAAAATTCTGTTCTAAACACGCCACCCTGGGAGTTGGCTGCTGATGGAGATGTAACTTTTAATGCCCTTGATAGTGTGTTGTCCTAAACTCTCGACTCCACTCAACAATGACCTTTGCCATGTGTTCTTTTATACTTCAATTGCCAATCAACCTTGTCCCTACCGGGACATTCAATTTTCGATGTGACAGTTTTGAAGGCAGGCACAGATGTACACACATTATATCATCAGACACATTCACTGCAATCTCCTAGGAAACAAATGCAGTATGTCAAACACTAGTCATTACTGTGTGGTCAAGAAAGAATATAGGGAAAAAAAGAAGAAAAAAAACCCAAAGTCAGCCATAAGAATGGCCAGTGGGGTTGCTAGGGGAGGGCAAGAGGGGGCCACGGCCCCCCCTTACATCATGCTGTGCCCCCCCTTTGGCCCCCCAAATGCCAGCAACATGTTCTTACATTCTATTCCTTCAGGCTGTAACAGTGTGTGAGTGTGTTACAGCCCGGGGGAGGGAATGCAGGGCAGAGGAGCCCAGCTGGAACGGTGCTGGAGGCTGTCTGTGGCCGGAGGGAGCACTGACAGGCTCTCCTGCACAGGCCCTGCCCCCAAACGAAGCCCCGACTCCCGCACATTAGCCCCGCCCCCACCGTTAAACAGCAGACCATGCTGCTGCTGGAAAGGCAAGAAGATGGCTGTCTGACCCCAGCAACAGCCTCCAGTGACAGGTAGGCTTGATATGCTCAGGGGTGTATGTGTGTATGGACACAGCAGTTTGTGTGTATGGACTCAGCAGTCTGTGTGTGTATGGACTCAGCTGTCTGTGTGTGTATGGACTCAGCAGTCTGTGTGTGTATGGACTCAGCAGTCTGTCTGTGTGTATGGACTCAGCAGTCTGTGTGTGTATGGACTCAGCAGTCTGTCTGTGTGTATGGACTCAGCAGTCTGTCTGTGTGTATGGACTCAGCTGTCTGTGTGTGTATGGACTCAGCAGTCTGTGTGTGTGTATGGACTCAGCAATCTGTGTGTGTATGGACTCAGCTGTCTGTCTGTTTGTATGGACTCAGCAGTCTGTGTATGTATGGACTCAGCAGTCTCTGTGTATGGACTCAGCAGTATGTGTGTGTATGGACTCAGCAGTCTATCTGTGTTTATGGACTCAGCAGTGTGTGTGTATGGACTCAACGGTCTGTGTGTGTGTATGGACTCAGCAGTCTGTATGTGTGTATGGACTCAGCAGTCTGTGTGTGTATGGACTCAGCAATCTGTGTGTGTATGGACTCAGCAGTCTGTATGGACTCAGCAGTCTGTATGTGTGTATGGACTCAGCACTGTGTGTGTATTGACTCAGCAGTCTGTATGTGTGAATGGACTCAGCAGTCTGTAAGTGTGTATGGACTCAACACTGTGTGTGTATGGACTCAGCAGTCTGTATGTGTGTATGGACTCAACACTGTGTGTGTATGGACTCAGCAGTCTGTGTGTGTGTATGGACTCAGCAGTCTGTATGTGTGTATGTACTCAGCAGTCTGTCTGTGTGTATGGACTCAGCAGTCTGTGTATGTGTGTATGGACTCAGCAGTCTGTATGTGTGTATGGACTCAGCAGTTTGTCTGTGTGTATGGACTCAGCAGTCTGTCTGTGTGTATGGACTCAGCACTGTGTGTGTGTGTATGGACTCAGCAGTCTGTATGGACTCAGCAGTCTGTATATGTGTGTATGGACTCAGCAGTCTGTATGTGTGTATGGACTCAGCACTGTGTGTGTATGGACTCAGCAGTCTGTATGTGTGTATTGACTCAGCAGTCTGTGTGTGTATGGACTCAGCAGTCTGTGTGTGTGTGTGTGTATGGACTCAGCAGTCTCTGTGTGTGTGTGTGTGTATGTGTGTATGGACTCAGCAGTCTGTATGTGTGTATGGACTGTGCAGTCCGTCTGTGTGTATGGACTCAGCTGTGTGTGTGTATGGATTCAGCAGTCTGTCTGTGTGTATGGACTCAGCACTGTGTGTGTATGGACTCAGCAGTGTGTGTGTGTGTATGGACTCAGCAGTCTGTGTGTGTGTGTGTGTGTGTGAATGGACTCGGCAGTCTGTGTGTATGGACTCAGCACTGTGTGTGTATGGACTCAGCACTGTGTGTGTATGGACTCAGCAGTCTGTGTGTGTGTTTGTGTGTGTGTGTGTATGGACTCAGCACTGTGTGTGTATGGACTCAGCAGTCTGTGTGTGTGTTTGTGTGTGTGTGTGGACTCAGCAGTAGATTGTGTGTGTGTTGGCCTGTGTATGGACTCAGCAGTCTGTGTTTGTGTCTGTGTGTGTATGAACCCAGCAGTCTGTCTGTGTGTATGGACTCAGCAGTCTGTATGTGTGTATGGACTCAGCACTGTGTGTGTATGGACTCAGCAGTCTGTATGTGTGTATGGACTCAGCACTGTGTGTGTATGGACTCAGCAGTGTGTGTGTATGGACTCAGCACTGTGTGTATGGACTCAGCAGTCTGTATGGACTCAGCAGTCTGTATGTGTATATGAACTCAGCAGTCTGTCTGTGTGTATGGACTCAGCAGTCTGTATGTGTGTATGGACTCAGCAGTCTCTGTGTGTGTGTGTCTGTGTGTATGGACTCAGCAGTCTGTGTGTGTGTGTGTATGGACTCAGCACTGTGTGTGTATGGACTCAGCAGTTTGTATGTGTGTATGGACTCAGCACTGTGTGTGTATGGACTCAGCAGTCTCTGTTTGCATGTGTATGGACTCAGCAGTCTGTGTGTGTGTGTGGACTCAGCAGTCTGTGTGTGTGTGTGTATGGACTCAGCAATCTGCGTTTGTGTCTGTTTGTATGGACTCAGCACTGTGTGTATGGACTCAGCACTGTGTGTATGGACTCAGCAGTCTGTGTGTATGGACTCAGCACTGTGTGTATGGACTCTGCAGTCTGCGTGTGTGTGTATGGACTCAGCAGTCTGTGTTTGTGTCTGTGTGTGTATGGACTCAGCAGTCTTTGTGTGTGTGTGTGTGTGTGTGTGTGTATGAACTCAGCAGTCTGTGTGTATGAACTCAGCAGTCTGTGTGTATGGACTCAGAAGTCTGTGTGTGTGTGTGGACTCAGCAGTCTATGTGTCTGTGTTTGTATGGACTCAGCAGTCTGTGTGTCTCTTTGTGTAAGGTCTCAGCAGTCTCTGTGTGGGTATATGGACTGTGTCAAGGGACGTGTTTGTTTTTTAATAATCCTTGGTGGAAAATAATGAATTCTCCACCAGGGATTTAAAAATAAAAACACATTGAGTCGGGGGCGGGGCTTAACATGCGGCAGGGGTGGGGTCAAACTGCGGTGAGGGCGGGGTTAAATGTGCCCCCCTACTTTAGTCCCTGGCCCACGTGCCCCCTCTAAAAATAAATCCTAGAGACGCCACTGAGAATGGCATCATTCACACCCAAATAGAAGTAGTACAGGGGAGTTCAGGAGAGAAAGATTTTAAGGCTTAAAGGGACACTATAGTCACCAG